CTAAACAGAAATGCAAACTGAGCCAAGAGGAATAAAATAGAGAAATGAATCCAACATGATTGAGGATGATGAGTCAAGTAATATTTAGAATCCAGAAAGGACAAAACACACTTGGAACACCGTGAACTGGAACTGAATCTCGTCATTGAACAAATCCTATTTACAGCTGACCTAAGCATTCAACGTTTCAAACTTGACATCCAGGGACCAGAGGCTGGATCTGTGGAAGTGATGCTGGAACTGAAGAGACAAGTTTCAAGGATATATTTGAGACAAGAAAGATTACTCCTCATTATCGTCTCATTTCTACCTAAGTTTTAACATTTTAAGTATTAATCAGCCCATATAGATTTATTTAGGAAACATGATATTTTAGGCACTTGGAACTGCAGAAAGTAGGAAGAGGAAGCATGTTTTGCCCTGTAAAAGCTGTGCAATGACATGTGCACAAAAGAGAAATTCCCCAAATGCTTATGATACAAAGCAAAGAAATATCACAAGAGAAATAGGGGCAAAGATGGTTGTGAAGGCAGGTGGAATCAGGGCCAGAAGGCCTGAGATCTCTCCTGGTCTTACCACTATGTGACTTTAAACAAGTACTTAACCCGACTGATCCTCTAAAATGGAGATGATAATATTGAGGCCATTTCATGTTGGTATTGGGATGATTAAATAAGAATGTATAGACTAAAGTAGTGTTTAAGTAGGTTCCCTATTCTTTTTTTTTTTCTTCGGGGAGTTTTAATCAGGGTTTAAATAGCAATGGAGGTGTATCATCTGGTTATGAGATATGACTGAAGTCTTGTGAAGGGGATGTGAGTTAAGTCTTAAAGGATGGAACTTCACCTTGAAGCCCTGTATGCTAGGCTGACTTGATCACCTTCTCATCCTGCCTTTTCCTGTAGAGTTGGATCCTGTCCCTGGACTACTAGTCACAAACCAGCCTCTATCTTCAAATTCTCTGGTTGCAGAGAATAGAAAGACACTTGCTTTAGCTTAAGCAAAATTTGAACTTATCAGGTTAAAAGAGCAGGATGCACAATAGGTTAGTCATCTAATGAACAGGAACTCAGAGCTGAGAGTTGTGAAGGACCCAGGAAGCCATAATCCTGTCTCCCCCAGTCTCTTGCTATTCCTGTCAAGCTCATCTTTCTCAGTATCTTTCTTAGGGACCATGTGGTTTCTCATCTCCTTTTCTCCTTCTGTATTTGTTTCAATCTTTTATATTTGTTCACAAGATTTCTCTGCTTCCCTATGCATATGTCCTTAATTCCAGGCACAGACAGGTGTTAATCTGTGGGCCAGGCCACATGTAGTGGGGTTAATGAAGCCGGGTGTCTAAAAGTCATCTCTTTCTCCACTGGAGATTCTCTTCTAAGGCTCCATTGCCTTAGTCTGGTGCTGAATTTTTCAGTGCTTTTTTTCTGGTTGACCTGCAGGATTCTTGACCTTAAATGAATGACCTTGCTGTTCCTGACCATCCTCCCTATTGCTCAAAGAGGAAGATAGGACTTGGGGAAAGTTAATAACTAGCCCTCAATTAATATTGTTCTTTCATGCCTTTGCATCTATTTCATCCTCTCTCACCTCTTTTACCTGATAAGCCCTTATTTTAAAATCATCTCAAGACTTCTCTTTCCTTTTTTGGTCTTCCTTGATCTTCCTTCTCCTCCATTCTAAGCAGATGGACCACTTCCACCTTGCTGTGGTTTCTACACCCCTTGATTAATGATCCTATCACGCTCTGTTGCAGTTTCGGTTTCAGTGGTTTTCTTCTTATTCTAGTGACCGCATTAAGAGAATGGGCTCCAGAGTCAGATAACTGGTTTCAATATCTGGCCTTTCCAATTATTAGCTATGTGATCATAGGAAAGTTACTTAACCCCTGCAGACTTTGCTATCATGGAGATAATAGTGCCCAGATAGCGCCCACATCAGAGAGTTATTGAGAAAATTGAGTGAAAACCTATAGGAAGTGCTTAGAACAGCGCATGACATAAAATAGGTGTTCAATAAATACTATCACTTCTATTCTACAAATACCAAACCCAGAATGTGTCAGACAGGATGTACAAGTTGTTCGTTAAAGAAATTAACATGTATTTTAAGAATATAAAATATTTGGGAAATAATGTTTTATTTTCTTTTGTGTTGGTTGGCACTTATGCTAAGGATATGAGAAATTCTGAGCTGCTGTTTTATAGTCAAGGCTCTTTGGTCAAGTAGGTTAACCTACTTGAGATTTCAGATTTGACCTCCATCTCATCACTATAGGGCATGACATATAATGTGAAATCAAATATTGAAACTTTGAAAGTCTTTCTGCAGACCATTTGGGCAGTGCACTATATAGGTATGAGTTGCTTTAAGTTTCTTTTCACCAAGGTGAATTTTAGGCTGTACGGGGAGGTTTCATTATAAATGAGATTTTAAGTCAAATTTATTAGTAGTCCACAGAATTGCACTGAGATACCATTTGTGATCTATAGCTTATTGTGTTTGTGAGAGATGGTCCAGAACTAGGGGTCTCTGCATTCTAATGATGTGTTTGGAATCTATACTTACAGGAGATGTAAGGATAGATTTATCTACTTGCGAAGTTTTCAGGTCAGTTTTCCTAAGATCAGCTACATCAATGTGTGCCTACTTCTACACATAATTCATTTCCAAGTATTTAAAAGAGAACTAGGTTTATTTTAAGGAGGCAATTGATTGACTCAATGTAGTTTGTCATTTTTTTAATATGCTTAATACAGCATGGTAAAGGATTTGTTTTTTGAATTTATTTGATTGTCCTAAATAATGAAGGATATCATTAGGCAAAAATGCCATAAACCCATGTATGTATATGTATGAGTGTAGAAATATGTGTATATATGAAATACATATCACTGGGCTAAAAACTGCATAATATACAAAACAAATGGAGTCCATTTTCTGAGATCTAAAATATATATTCTGACAAAAAATTGAGAATTAATTTAAACAGAATTATCCTCAACTGATAGTAATATTTTAATAATGATTATGTTTTCTAAAATCGAACTTCATACAATTATGATATAATGATACATTTAATGTAAGATTTGGAAGAAATTGAGAAGATTTGAGAGACTGGCAAATTTCTACTATCTACTGAAAAAGATTTAGAGAAGTCAAAATGAAGCATATGTGAATAAATTTGAATATGTCTTTGTATATGTATCCAGTAGGGGGAATTGGGAACAGACACTAAAATAGAAGAAAGAGTAGCCCATTGACTGGGGGAATTGAATCCAAAGATATTTTTTTTTCCATCAGGGTCTAATCCCTGCATTAATACATTATTCCTCCTATCATCACTCCATTGCAATGACTTAGTAGAAGTTTATTGTTTTCTCCAGATGAAATTGAATAGAAATAATTTTATGAGGTCAATACAGGCAAAGCTGGTGATGAAGACTGTCATGTATTAACTGGAAATGCTAGAATTGGAGACTCTTATTAGTTGCTTTCATTCATTCCTCACATGCTCACCAAGCATTCTTTGTGGTTCCTGGCACTGTGCTAGACCCTGGGAATAGATGCATCTTATATTCAAGGAGTTTAAGACAAGAAAATAAGGAACAGATAAATAAATGTTAGTTCTTTTTTCTAACTTACTTTTCTTTTCTTTTTCACTCAAAAAAGTTACCATATAATTAGAGAAAAAGAAGAAAACATTTATAATAAATTTGTTAGGTGATGAATCAAAGGTACATGAAAGGAACTGAGATGGGAGAAAATAACTCTGCCTGGCCAGAGGAAGCTCCATGCAAGAGGAGATACTTAAGCTTCACAAGAAGTATCATATTCTCCTTGATAAAATAAAGGAAGAAGAGTTTACTAAAGATAGGAGGAACAAACTATACAGTTCAGATTCCAGTTCAAAGTAGAATCATTATAACTTAAACATTATAACCATTTTTTAAACTTCTTACAAAAATTACATTTTATGTCTTTAACAATCAAGATCAGTATACAGAAATCCAGCTAGAAAATAGTATTCAATGAAAAGAACTTTAAATGTAGCATAGTCTTAGAAACATAGGTGATTCCAAGTTACACAGAAAAATATAAAAGCATCTAACTGAGTCACCTGAAAATAACTTTAACTCCAAAGATTTATTCCAACTATTGACAGAAGCCTATCTTTGGAGTTTCTATGTCAGAAATAATGTTTCTTGAGGAATTACAAATAACTTGTAGCAAGAATTAATTTTTAATAATATTCTTTTATTCCTAATAGATTATCTCAATCTTTTAAAATCCATCTAATTAAAAAGTCAGATATCTTAATTCTCTTCTTTCAAGTCCCATTTACCTCATTTTAGCCTATCAAATACAGCTAGCCTTGTTCCTCTGGTTGGATAATTATAAGCACAAACAATATTTCTACAATATGAGACATAAAAACACTGACTCATTAATTCTCTTTATATATCTACACACTTCTATCACCATTTTTACAAATCTCTAAGTAGTGTCTGACCACTTTATTAAAGGAACAATCACACTTTTCAAGAGAGGTTTTAGGATGGCTTTTACTTGGATAAGCAAAAAACCAAAATGTATAAACTAACTTTTGGCTTCTTGACATATTTATGAAACTCATTGCAAAATAGTCAGTTATTTTAAGTAATCTTGGGGGAACCAACCAGGAAATACTGTTTCAAATTTTAATATGAGTAATATACATCTTGTGCCTTTTCTTTAATACTTGCTACAACTAAAACCTACTAACTTTAGTGGGATGAATTTACTTGGACCACTGTTTACTCTTTTTCACTGATCAATGTTAGACTATATTAAGAATTCATATTTCATGCAAAACAAAAACAGACATATATTTATAGCAGACAAAAACTATAGAGAAAATGTTTTTAAATGCATAGACTACATGCCCTTTATCTATAGCTAAAAGGAAAAAAAGAAGAAAAAAATTTAAATCCCTAGGAAAATAAAATTAAAAATTTTCTTACCGGAATGAATGCATGTTGCATAGCTTGTTCACATTGTTTTAAGGAAGCAATAGTATCCCACAAAAGCTGATAATTTTCAGCTCGGGAAGCACTTGGCCGTTGCATGGTGAGAGCTAGTAACACTCAAACTGAGCTCAAAGAACCCAGTTGAACAAGGAAAAAACCCTGCAGATCTGTTACATAAACTTCTTAATTAGATCTGCTACACAAACTGCTATCTTAAGACTTTTAAAAAAAGTTAATCAGAACATTTCTTTTGGGGGATAACTGGGCATGACTCTAATAGAGACAGATGTTTTCATTGGGAAGGATTTTTGTTCCCACACTTGTGAAAAGCAATCCCATCAGTGTTCCCCTGTCTTTACATGGGTCTGGCAAAACTGCACATACCATAAGTGTGTGGGGGGAGAGAAGTAGGAGGGAGAGAGATGTGAAAAAATATTTCCACCAGAAGATTTGGGTGGCAGGCCACAGAGGTAGAATTTGAGTAGCTTGTACAAAGTAAATTGAAAGGAGTAGGTTACATACATATACAGGTATCTACACTTGTCTGCTGTGTGAAAAATACAGTTCTATACCTGCATTCTCACAGTGTCACTAAATATGTTCAACTCTCTTCTCGATTTATTTTAAGATCTAGATGTGATATATTTTTCATCTATAGAATATTATTGTCTCTATTAACTACAGAGTTATTTATTTGGGCGTATCTCCAAACACTAGCCAGAAGATTCTTGAGTATAAAGTGCAGTCAGTTGATTTATCTTAAAATTTAAGAGTAATTAGAAGACCGTTCTGTTGTCTTATGTATTGAATAAAAGTCACATTTCTTTCTTGTTCTAGGTAGCATTTACATAAATAATGCCAGGAGAATTGAGCCTTTAAATATTCTTGGGACCTGAGAGTGAGCTGCACATAATCAGAATGTGTTAATTCCAAAGAAATTGCTTACACATTTTAACAACAACAACAACAACAAACTAGTATAAGCACTAAATAAAGTCTTAACAGAACATAGCAACATATTCTAAGTGTTTCTTCACCTAAGTCAGGAGCCCACAAAGTAAAGTGAGGCTCTTAATAGAGCCTGTAGCCACCTACAGTCTCTGAGGGTTTGCTGACGTAAAAGATAATGCAGTTTATAAAGTGCTGAGTACTTAGAAGTTCCAAAGGAATCTATACTCTCAGGGCTAGTTACACAGTCAACAATGGGGTTATTTATTCAAGCTTTTCTAAAGGTAAGGGATAAACTGAGGGCAATACACAGTATAACAAATAAATTGTTCTTTTAATTGACCTAGAAAATCCAAGGAGTATAAAACAAAGTACAAGTTGCAGAAAACAGTTTGATAACATAAATGAAGGATTTTTGCTCTATTATTTTTAGAAGAGCTGCATGATTTGGGTTACCTAGTTTTTCTGCATTTGTACTCTGATGATGGTAGATTAGTTCCTACTAATGACCTTGTATTGTGAAAGTCTCAAAGGCTGATATCAGCAAAGTTTTCCTCCTGTCTCAATTATTTTTGAATTTTGAGTTGAAGGAATTGCAAGTAGAATTTATATTTCAAAGTTGCTACCTGGGCTAATGTATAAGGAGATTGTTTTTCCTTAATATTTCATGAGTCCACACCAGAAGGCTATTGCCATTAGACTGCTTTTCAATTTCAATTCAATGAACCTTTTCTTTTTCTCATTCATGGTGTTCTGTTCAGCTCACACCCACAGTTCCTCCTCTGCCTCATTCCTGCCCTTATACTCTCCCATCTGCCCGAGCCACATGCTTCTTTCTCATGCGCTGTCGACCAGCCAGCCTACAACTTCCAGAAGATATTCTTTAACTAGTAAATGTTCCGTATTTCTCAGCAAACAAGAGGAAAACCAAAAGTTGTTTTCTAAGTCATCCTCCAAAATTCCAGCCAATTCTTTTGAATTCCTTGAGCAAATGTTCATCATTATTCTAGATCCCAACCTCTGGGGTCTTCTGTCATGTCATGTCTTACACTTATTCTAGCTCTTTTTCATTGGGTCCTATCAGTTTTTAATTTAAGCAGCATCTCCTACAAGATCCCCCTTTCCTTATTCCTTGGGACAAAAATGTTAGAGAATCCACAGTCTCTACATGTAGAAACTCTGCATGTAAAAAATGCCCTTGGAATCATGCATGCATTCATTTATTCATTGTTCCAACAAACCTATCAAGCATCTTTCATGTGCTATATTTTTTGATAGTTCTATGGGCAGATGAACATATCAGATGTTGATTTTGTCTTTAAAGAGTTTAAGGTCCAATTGAAGGGATGGTGCATTAGGCATGAATAACAAAAAGAGAAGTTAAAAAATGTAAGTGACACAAAAGAGGTAGTATAAATTCTTTACCAAATGATTAATAAAAATACACCTTTGAAAAATTAAGGCAGCCTCATGAAAGACTTATCACTTGGCTAGAGCTTAAAGTTAGAGTAAAATTTAAATATGAAGAGCTAGGTAAGGGACATTCTTGAGAAAGGAAAGGTAGACAAAAGCACAGAGTGGGAAAGTAGAGGTCATTACTAGTTGGTTTGGAAGGAACATGACACCAAGAATGCATAATACTCAGATTTATACTGGAGTCAAGATTATTCTTGAATAAAAACTCAGTATCTTCTTATTCCTAATGCTAACCAATTTTAGCTTTAACCAATTCTTAGAGCATCGATGTGCATAAATTCAATGAAACTCTTCTTAAACCTCATGAAATGGTAAATTCCATGTATTTATCCCCACTCTTTAAAACAGGAATATTTGATATATTTTTGGAGGCTTTGGGTAGCTCAATCATTTAGGTTATATTAATTAGTTAATTATTTTGTTTTTTATTAAGCACATGTAACATGTTTTGCATTCTCACCCAATCACTTTTCTAAGTTCTAAAATCTATTACCTTAACATTCAAGTGGGGTTCACCATGAATCTCATCTGATCAAATACTTGACTTAGTTCATTTTGGCTCAGTTTAAGAAACATTTATTGAGCTCTGCTATGTACTAAGCACAGTGCTAGAAACAGAAAATACAAAGATAAATATATTTTCAATCCTCTGTTTCTTTCCAACTACCATTCAAAATGCATTTTCCCCTGCCCACAGGGTACAGTGTACATATTTTGTTCCTGTTAGTACAATCCCTGATATGTAATGGTTACCAATTTTTTTTGTTGTTGTTGTTAAACACTCAGTACTAGGCCATATATCTATCATATCTAAATATACTGCTATGCTCTAAATTAGATTATAGGCCTCAGAATGTCTAAATGTACTTTTTGTGTGGTGGTATTTCCATGCCCAGACAGGTTCGCATTTAAATACTTTCTGCTGGTGATTGGTTTAAATATAACTTTCTAACAATTTTACTTCAAGTATAAATGAAGTAACAGGGCATGGATATACACATATCTGAAACAAACAAAAAACTAAATGAAATATATGAAACAATGAATTTCAAGAATGTACATCAAACAACAAAGAACAGTGAACTCTGAGACAAGAAACAAATTAGATAAATCCCTATTATTGCTACATTTAAAATCTTAAAGGTCCAGGCCACATTGCAGGGAGGGAGGATCCAGTTGGAACCCAGTGGACTTGCTGAATTGAGATAGAGTTGGTTTTCTGGAGAGACCAAATCAACGAGGAAAAATAGAAAAAATCCATAATTATAGTTTATAGGAAATAGAAGAAGTCAATAAAACTCGCAGCTAGTTCTTTGAGATTATCAATAAAATTAATAACTCTTAAGCAAGACCAAAAAAAGATAAAATAAATTATCAAAATCAGGAATAAAAAAGGTAACATCACTATAGACCCTATATCCATAAAAGGGCTAATAAGAAAATCTTATAAACAACTTTATTCTAATAAATTTGATAACTTAGATGAAATAGATGGATTCCTTGAGAGATATAAGCTGCCAAAGCTCACTCAAGAAAAATAAATCATACCATATATCTATTAAATATATTGAATTTATAAGTAAAAATCTACCATCAATAAACTCCAGGCCTGATGGCTTCAATGATGAATTCTATCAAACATTTAAGTAAGAAATAGTAATAAGTCTATACACACTCTCCCAGAGAACTGAAGAGAAAGGAATACTTTCCAACTTGTTTTTTAAGATCAGCATTACCCTGGTACCAAAACAGGTGAAGATATTAGAAGGAAAGTAAAAGCCTATATGACTTCATGAATGTATGTTCAAAAATTCTAAACAAAATCTTAGCAAATTAAATCCAACAATATAAAAAAGAAAATGAATCGAGACCAAGTAAATTTAACATTTTAAAATGACAATACATTATATTAATTATAAAAAAAAACCCAAAAAACTGGCCTACCTTATGATCAACACAAACGACACAGAAAGAACACTTTATAAAATCGAATATTCATTTCTAGTTGAAAGAAAAAAGAAACTCTCTCAGGGCAAAAATAGGATGTACCTTCTCATCACTTCTAGTTAACATTTTCTGAGATATACTAGATAGTGCAACAAGTCATAAACAAATAAGTAAGTAAGTAAATATTATAAAGGAAGAAATAAAAGTGTCTTTTTTACATTTGACATAAATGTAAAAAATCTCATGGAATCTAAAGCAAACTTTAGAATTTATAAATGAGTTTAGCAATGTTGTAGGATACAAAATCAATATACAAATTTCTCGTATTTCTCTATAATAGCAATAGGTAACTGGAATTTGAAATAAAAATCATACCATATACAATAAGATAAAAATATTAAATACTTAGGGATAAACTTTATAAAACATGTGAAATCTACTTCTCCTGAGAGAAATTAAAGACATGTAAGTGGAGAGACATACCATGTTTCTGCCATCTACATTGCAAACTTCTCCTGAGAGAAATTAAAGACATGTAAGTGGAGAGACATACCATGTTTCTGAGTAAGATGACTCACTGTTAAGATGTCATGCTCTGAAAATTGCTTTATAGATTGAATGCAATGCAATCTCAATCAAAATCCAGAAAGGTTATTTGTTTGTTTGTTTGTTTGTTTTAGAAAAAATGACAAGATGATTCTAAAATCACATATACATACTTAACAAATATAGAATAGCCAAAATTAAACTTTG